GCAGAACACATACAGCGCCTGCGCGATCCTCCAGGAGCAGCTGGAGCATTGCGCAGACGCTAGTACGCATGCACGCGCCGCGTGCGTGCGCGAGGACGCCGCCGGCCTCGTTCCAACCGAACCGGTTGGAACGGGGCGAGAAACCCACCCCTGACCACAAGCCACATGAGCCTTAGGTATTGGCATGATTGCCCTGCAGCCCAGGACTCCACAGGATTTGCTACTTACCTTCAGACAGTGCTTTCTTCCTATTGACAGGGCCCTGTGTTCTACCCAAGGCTGCTCTGAGTCGCACAAGGCCTTAGCTCTTGAATGGCTTTGGAGAATGTTCTTTTGTGGTCTCTGCAGCCTCAGAAAAATGCAGGAAAACACACCCTATTCTTGTGTGATTTTCGGAGGCTGAAGGAGCTGCACAGGACGTACCTCATTCTTGCATGGCTTCATAGGCCTCCAAAAACTGTGTGGGAACAGGTGTGTTTTTGAGAATAGTGGTTGTTGGGTGTTGGTAAGCCTGGTTCGTCAGCCAAAACACTGTGGCATATCACTTTGACGCATGTCATAGGTTTGTCATCACTAGGATTTATAAACCATAGGCATGGTTTCCTCTTACAATTTCTCTTGCAGGTTGTTATTTGTTCTTGGTTTCACTCTAAAGGGTGCATTTACTTTGTCACTGTAAGATTTTTTTTCAGTGAATGCATTTATAATTGCAAACTCTGTACCTGTGGTTTAAAAATGATCATAAAATACGTGCTTAATAAGCCATAAGAAAGACACACAGAGCACACATTACTGCTTCTTCTCATATTCCTCTCCATAGAAAAATGGGTGAAAGAAATTAATAATAAGCAATTTTTAAAAGAGCATTGTAAAACAGAAACAGCACTTAGACTTATATAGTGCCCCATAATGCTTTACAGCACTCTTCTGAACAATTTACAATGTCAGCATACTACGTGGTATGTGGTCCCCCATTTTACAGATCTTGGAAAGATGGAAAACCAAGTCAATCTGAGCCCCATCAGGATTGAACTCCAGGCTGTGGGCAGAATTTGCCTGCAATGCTTTAATCGCTGCGCCACCAGGGTTGGTTTCTAAATGCAGAGCATTTAGTCAGTAGAAAGCCATTGATTTTTAACAGACTTCAGATGTAATGTACCTGTTTTGGTCAACGGGCTTGAAAAAAGCTGCTGAAGAAGCTTGTTCTCTGAAGTCCTCAATACCACCATTATGTCCGCAGGAAGGGTATCTCTGTTCTTCTCAAGGAAGCCATAAGCATCATACTGAACCTATACAACACATGGGAATTAAATGTGAAACAGGCTCTTATAAGATTCGGCCACCCATAAGTACCCATAATACTTTAGGTAAATTTGAGATTTTTTTTTTTGAGATTTTATTAATATTTGTAGGCCGCCCTTTTCCCTGAGGGGACTCAGGGCGGCTCACATAAAATCGGGGAAGGGGAAATACAGACATTAAGATAAGACATATAATAGATAGATAGATAGATAGATAGATAGATAGATA